TTATTGCAGCTGCTTATTAGGTTTGCTCACAAGTTCATGTGATAATAAAGACTTCCCATTTCTTTTGTTGATACAGGGTTACTCTCCATGTGGTGTTTTATGTACTTAGAAGAATCTTAAAATTAAGGTTATCCCACATTGCTGACATCATTAAAGTTCCTCCTCGCTATGATCTTTTTCATGGTATCAAAAGGAACTGTGAACACGAACACTTTCTCACATGGCTTACACTCACGGGTTTCTCTCAAGTGTGAGTTCCTTGAATTTTGAGAAGGTACCTGGATGGAGTGAAGGCTTCTTTGCACTCTTTACACACACAGGGTTTCTCTTCAGTATGCATTCTTCCATGTATTTTAAGGGTAGAGGAATGACTGAAGGCTTTCCCGCACTGCTCACATGCATGTTTCATGGCACTGTGAAATCTCTGATGTTGTCTGAGGGGACTGGAATCACCATAGGCTTTGTCACATTGCATGTACACATAGGATTTTTCTCCAGTGTGATTTATTTCATGTCTTCTGACTAAATAGGAATGAAGAAAAGCTTTACCAGATTGTGTACATGTATAGGGTTTATCTTCACTCTGAAAGTCTTCATATGGTAGATGAACTGAAGCCTTTTCCACATTGCTAACAACACAACATTTCTCTCATTATTTCATGTATTTGAAGGGATCTGTGAAAATAAAAAGCTTTCCTACATTATTTACATGTATAAGGTTTCTCTTCACTGTGAATGTTTTCATGTGCTTAAAGTCTTTCCCACATTGGTTACATATATAGGGTTTTTCTCCAGTGTTTTTGAGGTTTTTCATGTTTTCTGATTGAACTGTAAAGACTAAAAGCTTTCCCAAATTGCTTACATGTACAGGGTTTCTCTCCACTGTGAATTCGTTCACATATTCTAATAGAGCTGGAAGTTCCAATAGAGCTAGAAGTTTCTTGCATACATAGGGTTTTTCTCCATTGAGCATTATTTCATATATTTGAAGGGTTCTGGGGAATTGAAAAGCTTTCCTACATTGCTTACATGTATAAGGTTTCTTGGCACTGTTATTTTACTCATGTGTTTAAAAAATATTTTTTAGATGTTGGTGGACCTTTATTTTATTCATTTATTTATATGTGGTGCTAAGAATCAAACCCCAGTACCTCACACGTGCTAGGAAAGTGCTCCACAACTGAGCCACAACTCCAGCCACTCATTCATGAGTTTTGGTATGGCTATAAGAAGTAAAGGCTTTTCCACATTGCTTACATACATAGGGTTTTTCTCCAGTGTTCTTGAGACTTTTCATGTTTTCTGATTGAACCGTAATAACTGAAAGCTTTCCCACATTGTTTACATGTATAGGGTTTCTCTCCACTGTGAATTCGTTCATGTATTCTAATTGAGTTGCAAGAACTAAAGCCTTTTCCACATTTCTTGCATACATAGGGTTTCTCTCCACTATGAATTCGTTCATGTGTTTTAAAATTGGTAGAAGAACTAAAGCCTCTTCCACACTGCTTACATACATAGGGTTTTTCTCCAGTGTGAGTTTTTTCATGTCTTCTGATTGCTTTGGAATGCCTGAAAGCTTTCCCACATTGTTTACATGTATAGGGTTTCTCTTCACTGTGATTTCGTTCATGGATTTTCAAGTACTTAGAAGTACTAAAGCCTTTTCCACATTTCTTGCATACATGAGATTTCTCTCCACTGTGAATTAGTAAATGTCTTTTCATGTATCTAGAAGTACTAAAGCCTTTCCCACATTGTTTACATGTGTAGGGTTTCACTCCATTGTGAATTTGTTCATGTCTTTTCATATACCTGTAAGTACTAAAGCCTTTTCCACATTGCTTACACACATAGTGTTTCTCTTCACTGTGAATTTGTTCATGTGTTTCCATTTGGCTAGAAGAACTAAAGCTTTTTCCACATTTCTTACACACATAGGGTTTCTCTGCACTGTGAATTTGCTCATGGATTTTAATGTAGCTGGAAGAACTAAAGGCTTTTCCACAGTGCTTACACACATG